CCCGCTTGGCGCAGGGGGCGGCCTTGGCGCCCGCCCTGCCGACGGCAGTGCCGGCGGCGGCCGCCTTGCTCCCCGGGGCGGCGGGGCGGCGGGAGAGGCGGCCCGGCGCTGCCAGCAGCCCCGCGGCCGGAGGGTGGGCGCCCGGGTGCGGCGAAGGGGGCGCCCGGGCGGGGAGGCCGGGGGACTTGGGGGGCGCAGGCGGCGGCTTGGCGGCGGCGCGGGCGTGCAGGTCCTTGAGGAAGGGTCTGGCGGGCGACGGGGCGCGGTGCGGCCGCTTCTTCTCGGCGTGCGGGTGGTGGTGGCCGGGAGAAGGCGGCGGCGGCCGCAGCGCGTCGCCGGGCCCTGGTCCGGGGCCATTCAGCGCCTCCATGTCGCGGGCCGGGGGCGGCGGGGCGGCAGCGGCGGCCGCGGGGGCGCCCGGCGGCGGCAGGAGCGGCGGTCCCCGCGGGGCACAGCGGCAGGACGGGCAGCCTCCTCCAGCCTCCCCGCTCGCTCTCTCATCACTTCTGTTTCTCCCAGCCACAGCCCTCACACTTTTCTTTCTCGATCTCCCTCTTCCTGCCCCCCCACCCCCACCACCTCCTCCGCCTCCTTCTTCTCCTCCTCCTCTTCGCCGCTCTCTCCCGACCACTGATTTGTTTCAATAAATCGAGCCCAAATCCCCCGGTGGCAGCCGTCTCCTCCTCCGTCTCCTTCCCCTCCCGCTCCCCTCTCTGCCCGGCTCAGCTTGATGCTGCTCAAGTTGTGATGCAGCCCAAAAAACAGATCCTTTTCCCTTCGATCCGAGGAAAAGGCGTGTTTTCCCGGCTGCCTCCGCCTCCACTTGCAAGCCCCCCGCTTAGCCCACCGGCGCCGCTAACCCCATCGCTGCCCCCAGCCCTGGCTCCAGCTCCAGTCGCCGCCTCCGCCCGGCTCCTGAAATAGCCCCGCGGCTGCCAGGGCCGCTCCGGCGCGGCTCTGCCCGCCTGTGCGCAGGATCCGCCCCCTCTGTCAACCAGCCAGGCTCCTCTCCTCCCGCTCGGCAAACTACTTTCCTCGCACGCTTTATTATAGGGGCGCCTCTGCCCGCCGCTTCCTATCAGAGAGCCTCATCTGGGGAGAAATTTTAATTTCCCAGCCATGAACTGTATAGTGTTGGCCGTTTATTATTTCTTTTCCCCGAACTAAGACTTCATGAAAACGCTCTCTCCAAGGACTGGCAGCAACAAAACAACACCCACTGCATTATCTCTCTACTCAAGGCAGACACAGGTTCATTGAGGGGCAGAGCTGTGTATCCGACGGAATCAGCAAGTTCCTGGCTGTGGATAAACTACTAAAGGCGTGGACCTGTCCTTTTGGGGCACGGGGACATGAAATTACAGCCCTTACATTTGCAAAGCACCTGGAGAGTAAATGAAAGGGAGGAGAGGCTCAGGCGTGGGAAAGAGGCACAGCCTAATGGGGAGAGCAGAGCAGCTCTAGTCGGGATGTTTCCGATTCCTCCGCTCGGGCACAGCGGGACCTTGGAGAAGCCGCGGTGGCTGCCTTATCTGTCAGACGAAGGCGGTGAATGCGTGCTTAGCTCCTGAAGTCCTTGGGAGGCTCAGATCACCCACGTCTGAATGGCAGGGACTGCAGCGTGCCCTGGGGAGGACAGTCCCGGGCGTTTTGGGAGGGCAGCAACCTGAAGCGCTCCGGGTACCCCGCTCCGCTCAGCTGAGATCAAGGCATTACACCGAAAGGCAAAAGCCTCCGGGACTTCTGGAGCCTGAGGGCACCGGGCACCACGGGGCGGGTGGCCAGGGCGAGACCACGCGGCTGGCGCTGGCAGTGCCAGTCCGGGGCCAGTGCCAGGCCACGTTGCCCGGGGAAGGGACGGGACCGCTCGGACATCCCTGGCCTCCTTCTCCCAGTAACCGATTCCTACTGAATAGGCAGCACCGGCGCTGCCGCATGAGTATGCAACAGGTAGTCCTTACTTTGTAAAGGCTGCAGAGGTGAAAAAAAAATAACATTCAAATCAGAGCTGTATTTACAGGTCTCCAGGAAGTGGGAGCAGCTCGACGGCACCGCCCCGGGCAGCCGGCGTGTGCAGCGCCAGTCGGGAGAGCGCCGTGATGAGCGGCCTGCCGGGGGGGCGGGAGTCCAGGGCGGCTCCAGCCCCCGGGAGAAAGCCGGAGCTTAGGGCGGCAGCAGAGAGGGGGCGGTGGCCAGAGTCCCTCCCTGTCCCCGGCGGAGGGACAGATCTCCTCGGCAGGGCGGTGTGGTCCTTCCGCGAGTGGGCAGGCGATGAAAGCCCTGCTCCGGGGCAGCCAGCGGGCGATATGATGCTGGTTTGGGGTGGGATTTTTTTAATCTCTTGACAAATTCAACTTCTGTTAGTGCTCATATTTTCCACCCGTTAGCATCGTTGCCGGACAGCTCGGTTCCCGCATCCAGATGTGCCTTCCAGGTCACGGCAAAGTACCTTTTGTGGTAAAGATTGCACTTGCTGCCGCCGATAGGTACATCTACTGGAGCTACCGAGAGGACTTAGTTGGGCCAAGCCCTTTAAAAATTAAAGGAAATACTCTGAGGAGAGAAAAACACAACAAACCCACTCACAGGTGTAAGCCCCCTCATTCTCCCTCCGTGGGCAGCATTAGTAATTTACTTGATTGGGTGAGATAACCAGTGTATAGAACCAATGTGAAGTGGCTGAGTTGATTTAGAAGAATGGCTTATGAAATATATACTACTGTTACATTTTAATGATACAGCATTTGTGTCAGGCCATCACACATTATCAGTGTTTCCTACCAAGCTGTTGTGCTCCTAGTCGGTTTGCTCTGGGTTTTTTTGTTTGTTTGGTTGGTTTGTTTTGTTTTTGTTTGCTTGTGGGGTTTTTGTTTGTTTGATGTCGGTGGGGTTTTTTTAGTTTTGTTTTTTTGGTTTTGTTTTTTAGGGTTGTTTTTGTTTGGTTTTGGGGCTTGGTGTTTTTTTTGGGTTTTTTTTTTTTTTGGCAATACACTGCTGCTCAGTTCAAGTAATTCTCCTACACAAGAATGCTAGAGAGTGAAAGAGATGACAGGTGCTGTATTTCATAGTGAGAAATAGTAATTATTATGGAAACACTATTATGGATGTTGTCCTACATGAGAGATGTCAGAAACGTTGTTTTGTGCTACTATATCCACATTCTCACTTGGTTTTGGCTATAAATTCCAAGAATATATGGGAATTCCAGCTTCACCGACTAGATTTTCAATGTGTTTATGTCTGTGATGAAAGGGGAACCGCTCTGTGATAATTTATGAGTACCCTGTTTTGACTTTGCCCCATGAACAGAACGGTTCAATTCAAAAGGAAAATGAAAGGAAAAGTATGGCTCAAGATAAGCCACTTTTCTACAAACAATAGCTGAGGGACAGTGCCAGGCTTCTTTGCACTGGAGGGAAAAAGAATTAGGAAAGTGAAAAAAGGAGCACATTCACAAAAGGCTGGGAATTGTCTGGGAGAATTAATCTGAGAAACTTGAGTGCCTGATGGAGCCCAGTTTCCTGTGGTTACCTTGTAAATTTTACTTTACAAATACATGAATAAATATATTTCAAAAATTCTTATTTATCTTTTTTTCCCCACTAAATACTTTGTTTCAACTGCTAAATGCTTTATGTTTAAGATGTTTTGTTATATCACTGTGCAACACTGACCACAACCTCCTGCAGGCAAAGAGGACTAAAACTCATTCTGACTTCTGAGGAGGTGCCCTCAGATAAATAGAGACTCAGAATAATTAAAGGTCCATGACATGGCAGGGTGACCTCAGATCAGAAAGGAGACTGGAGAGTAGATACCTCTCTAAACATGTACCTTTGTGTTCTGTTCATCTTCCTCTCATTGAAACATACAGTAATGTTTGCTGTCCCAGGCAGCTCCAGTTCAACTACGCATGTTAATAAAGTGATTTATTTACATTAATGCTCAAACAAAATTGGGCTGTGGCACTGAAAACATGCTGCAGCAGAACATGTTAGATGGAGGCAAATGCGCAGTCACACCAAGAACCCTTTACGTTGTGTTGGCAGTACAAAGCATCTAATAACAAAGAAATGCAGCCCCTGTAACCCTCCCTGGGCACGTGCATGGCTGGGTGCAGATGGCAGATTTGTGTGGTATGAGGCCAGCTGTAGTATTTTGGCTGTGTTCCTCTGTCCTCTGCTGTCTGAGCAATGCCATTTGGAGATCCCTACAAGAACAGTGTAAATAGGCATGGCGTGAATAAGACCCTAATATGAAAGCTAAGTACATACCGCAGAAATCTCCATTGGGTTAGGCAAATGCCCACTAAGGATTACTGTTATCATATTACTTATTTATTTATATCAAACCATTTTTCCTTTACTTAAAACTTGCTAATGATTCTCATAGGAACATGCAGTCACAGACTATCATGACCACCCTAATTCTCCTCTCTCTTTCTTTTTATTTGCTTGTAATGTCCAATTGTTTTCACTTATCATAAGTTAGTCATACACTCCCTCGTGGTGGAACAGTTTCTTATATGCTTGTGTAGCTCTTAACATAATAGGACGTCTGGGTGTTGGTTGAATAATACAAATAATCAGACATAACACTTTTATGACACATTTATTTTGGCAATGCTGATATCCTTTGTCTGATTAATGCTGACATTTGATAACTGAGTTGTATTTGCACAAATAATTATGAAAAGTAAATGCTAAGCCTGACTACTTAGATTAGCTATCGTACATCTTACAAAGCATAAGACACCGTTTTTGGCAGTGCAGGACTGTTTAAATTCTTTTCTAGGGCTGAGGCACAAGAGAGTTTACAATTGCTTAGAGAAGATGTGAAGAGGCTCAATCTAAATGCAAATTTGTGCCTCAGCCAGCCCAGTTTACAGTAGCCTAAGCTGTTATTTTCTCCTATTTCAAATCCCTATTTGAGATTTTCTTCAATGACACCATAAAAGCAACCAACTTATAATGGCCAGGCTCGGAGTTATAAGGGAGCCCTGATGTTTACAGAGCTAAATCAAAATAGTAAATGAAGACACAAGTGCATCCACGCAGGCCATATGTATGGATAAACCAGCATCAATCTGGTTGAGTCTATCATTATTGCCCCTTTATATGTTGCAGATCATAAGCTGTAATTTCTTTGTGGCCACATTGTGCTCTGTGATTATACCATCCCAGAGGAATCCTAATCAGGGCCAGCAGGTGTTACAGTGACACGTTAACAACAGCAACGAGGCATAGCTTCAACAGAAAAAATGTGTGACATCTTCAAGCTCACAAATCCCTTTTTTTTTGTTGCAATCTCTCCGTCAACTGCTATCTCTCCCTGGGGAATTCAAAGCCCCAAAGACCTTTTTTAAAGCTT